TTATTTATTTTCTAAAATGCACTTTGTATTGTCTTATAAATAATATGTAAATAGTGAGATTAAATCAATGCACGTGTTCTATAGGATATAGTATTATAGTGCTCTTTTGTTCTGTGAGGTTTGTATAAAATAATTAATTCCGCATGAAGGCTCTACATGAGCAATTTCGGCGAAACCTTGCGCAAACGCGGATAAAATTACGAATTACATTTCCGCTAAACGCGAAAAGTGAGTCAACCCACCTGTCACACTTCCAAAAGTTCCAAGAACGTTGTAACAGTTTCGGATCGATGCTAAACTGCATAACGGTATCTTAAACTATTGTAACTACGTAGTACGATTGCGCAGAATTGCGACACGGTAACAAAAGGGTATGTACCAAAACCAGAAAAGTGCCAGTTACTTCAGTTCCGCAAAAAACTTAACCATTACTGGCCAGCCCTTCATAACCAGTCCAGCTTAAAATAGAAACCAAGCGATGTACAGGAAATAGTAAAGGTTGTTACGCAACCGAGCATTGAACGTTGGCCAATGACCGGGCACAAAAAATTACTGGTCAGGTACTCTTACGATACCACTGTCACGATTTATGATTTTTTTCGCTACGGTCCACTGGATAATGCTGAAAGTAATTCGGAAAAAACTAGTTGAACTAATAGGAGATAGTTGTTGAAGTTTCCAATTTGGTATAAAAAGCTTGGGATGAAATGGAGATGAGAGGAGCAAAAACATCTAAGTAACTGAGATCGTTACTCAGACTCAAATTCTTCTTTAATTATGAATTTATTTATTACTATTGACTTCACGCGGTACATAATTATGGATTTAATCTAAATATTTAACTCAAAGGTGACTAACTGACTGACATAGTGATCTATCAACACACAGCCCAAACCACTGGACGGCTCCGGCTGAAATTTGGCATGCAGTTAGATGTTATGACGTAGGCATCCGCTAAGAAAGGATTTTACGAAACTCCACCCCTAAGGGGGTAAAACGGGATCCACGCGTACGAAGTCGCGGGCGGCCGCTAGTGTAACATACCTAAGCGTGATTAGCTAATATTGTATACCTTTGATGGTGTTAGTGATGATTCAAATCAGATTGAAGACATGCTTCTATCATAAATGCAGTATTCAACGACTAGTGTATTTATATCCAGCGGAAAACTGATAAAAATCTAGTTCCATTATAACTCGTATCAGATCTAACTATTAATTTTAAAGCCTGTGATGGTAATAAGATGTTATAAAGAAATAATTATGAAGATCGAGGGAAGAAATAACTCATGGCAACTGCTACACATTTACTTGAAGATACTTATCTTATCATATTATTATAACAACTTCTATTTATAAACGGCATGACAGTAAAAAATACAAGATTCCTATAATTAGATCATTAGAGGTTATGACCATCAACATGGCTAATGGAATGTTTTATAAAATACCTACTTGACAGCTGTTTCGAATTAGGAGAACTACAAATTAAGACTGAAATATAATAATGTACAGAGCTGAGTGACCACAAACAAGGTAGACATGCACTACAGGTCTCATTCATTTAATAGAGCCTAATTTTTCAGTTCATAGAGCCAATTAAGCAGTTTGCAATTGTCGCTTGCGCAGGCGTGACCAAACCCAGTGACGGTTCAGATTTTAGATCAAATGTCAGAGATCAATGTCCACAACAATCCAATTTAATCGATAAAAGACACAGATCCACTGAATTGACCAAATCGAAATGTCGGAAGTAGATCTTCGCCAAATATTTTAAGTTTATGCTCTGCGAGAATATAACCCGAAACAAATCTAAAACAATGGTATCGACCGTTACCATAACAATTTCATTGATGAGATATAAACTGTTTAAGATATATATCCCTTTCAATTGAATGAAGAAAACGATACCTACTGCCAAACTGTGTATGAAACTAACACGATAAACTTGCTTTAACATACACTTTAAATTCTTCTGATTTTCAAATTGATAAGAATTTTGATATTCAAATTCATAACGCAAGAAACTGCGCGTCCAAACCGCATAACTACAAAACCCAAGACGGCGACTCAACTCACGCGCACCGCCCGCGTGCCGAATGGGAATCAAAGCAACGAACCCGCATCTACCACACAACTCAAACACGACAGTTGCCCACGAAATTGCTGTCACATTCACCTCTATTCTAAAGAAATAAGCACTTCAAAAGCGATTGGACAGCGACAACTCGTGACTGTCGTGATCGTGGTAAAGGTGGGGACATTATGAACCCACCTCACACAGTAGGGGCCGATTCCCAGTAGCCACTCGGCATTGTGAATACCAATGCAGTCCCCACTCCCCATGGTGTGAATGCCGTGGGACATTTGCAGGCACCACGCTTTTACACGTACTGGTAATTGGCTTTCATTATAGGACTTGAAGGGCTAAATTGAATGCACTTTTGCGGGGTTATTGAAAAACAAAAACCACTTACTGCAGTATGTATTTTTAAGATGATGTAGATTTATGAATAAAACTAGTCTCTTTAGATTCACGCTTTAATAAATTAATCATAACCGGGATCTGGAAAAGTTTATGGATAGTTTGATAAGCGTTCTCTTTGTTTTTTAACTGAATTGTAAAATTGGAAAGTCCCACGCATGGACCTATAAAAAAAGGCGGACGGAACTCGCGCTACAACAAAACTGTGACGCGAAATTTTGGCGTTTGTCTATTGTGTGAGTGAATTTAGGGATGCCATGTTAGCCAAAACATTTTACCCATTTATTTTGTACTTGGAAACTTGGTTACTTGGAAATGTAGACAGAATTTGAAAAGGATGAAAGGTAAATGCGTTGAGGTAGGCGCGAAATTTTCAATGTACAAATTTTCTTACATTGTTTGCAAGTCAGTGTCAGGGTATGTACATAATGTTGATCAAAAATGATTCACGCAGTTACAAATTACGAATCTTGTGTACATTATAATCATAATCTTATGCATCATCAATATAATTATCTCTGATAGATTTTAACATACAACCTGACACTGACTTGCAATAAATGTAAGAAAATTTGAATTTTGCAGTTCCACATTTTTAGGAAGGATCAAATCTGCCTATGAAAATATATCCCATTAAAACACAATTATTATGATAAATAATTTTATTTCTATAGTATGCGTAATAAATAACTAAAAAGTCCTAAAATTATTATTAATTTCCCATATTTCGGGTAATTTTCCCACGTAAATAACTGAGAACACTGGTCTTTGACGTATTTTTTTTTTCAAGTGAATGACGTTTGATTTCAATTAATTTCAATATTTTAATGTCGGGAAATAAGTGATTGGATTATTATTTTACCTGTGAAATGTAATTCCTTAATTTTTGTTTGTTCGAACAGAACGGTTTTTACACAATTTCACCACACAAGACATGTCGTATTCGTGTTGTTTTTTCGCCGCCTGAATGTGTCAACTGTGTGAAGTTTCAAATCAAATCAAATCAAATTAGTTTATTGCAATTGTAGGTACATATCATACATTGATGGATCTTAAATTTAAACGTAAAATTGTTCAGCTACAATTTGCCAAGCATATGGCGTGCAATATACATATAAATGGTTACTTAATACTAATACCTGTTCATTTTATAATTTTACATGCAAACATTTTATGATCACATTCTTAAATTGTCCAGGAGGAATTCGTTAATGGAGTAGTATGCCTTCTCTAAGTTTGCACTCGAAGTGGTGCGTCAGGGTGTGAATGTGTGCGTGCCGGCCTGTACGTACAGGCAAGCTGGTGTATCCTAATGTCACAGTATTTTGTTGATGAGAATCCGTCCGACTTTTTTATAGGTCCATGGTCCCACGTATGTTTATCAGTTTCGGGTATACGCTACTATTAAGTGCATACTAAAAGCTCTAATTAGCTTTCTCTTTTCTTTGCACCGGTCATACGAGAAAACAATGAGCTTTACTTTATGCGTTGGAATCATTGAAATACCTAATTTTCCTGCCTTTTACAAGGAAGCACTATTTTCGGGGGTTTTCCCGAGTAGATTTTGTTTTGTCACCTGGATGAAAAGAATCCTGATTTTCACGTAGCGTAAGCGTAGCGTATTTTCGCTTTAAGTGTACTTTAAAGCATTTGTCAATCTGGATGCGGTCTGCGGTAAAGTCAAAATTAAGCAGCCCGCACCTGTCAGCTTGCGTTTTGCTCGTGCCCGCATTGTCAGATCACATCAAAACAAAAGATTGACAATTGAAGGGGTGAGTGGACTAAGGTCTTAACTAACAAAATGAGTTATGAGTGTTTGAAAATGTTAATCTGCTCACACCACATTCGAATCCTGAAATGTATGAAAGGTATTCTATTCTATTCTATTCTATGAATGCTTGTCAGATAACACCTTTGTTAAGGTTTGACACGTAAGAAAATTGCGTGTTTTGAGCTCATTAGTCGATTTTATCATCACTTAAACAGCGTTGCCAGACGTCCCGATTTTGGCGGGACGTCCCGATTTTTAAATCAAATTTAAATGTCCCGCGCGGGACAGGCTCGGTCCCGCTTTTCGGAGAGAACTCGACCGTACGTGGCGTACGTACTAAATCTGATTTAAAATATTATTTTTATTGTTAAAATACATTTTCTATAGCTACTTTTGCTATCTATTGTCACGTAAACGTAATTTTAAGTCAAATAAAAAGATAAATATTTGAAAACCTTTGATTATTATACATTTTTTTACTATGTCCCGCTTCTGACGGAAGAATCCCGCTATTTTCACTCAAAAAGTACCAAAGTCCCGACTTGGCGAAAAAAAAAACTGGCAACGCTGACTTAAAACCTATGTTCATGCAAAAAAGTCGATTCTTCAGTTTTGTCAGATAACACCTTTGTCCACTCACCCCTTCAATTGTTCATACATAATGCGGGGTGCGTTCACTTTGACAGAAAAAATGAATCTAATGACTTTTTTGTCTAGAATATTGGCATGGACGAAAGTTACTCACCCTCTGATACCGTAAGAGGTAGTCGATGAGCACGTCCTTCTTCTTGTCCTTCTCCTCCTGGTGGCAGACGCCCACGTTCAGCCCCATGATGATGGTGCGCAGTAGACCGCCCTCGAACGCGTCCCAGAGGAACTTGGGCGTGTAGCACATGATCGCCTGCAAGTTAAGAAAACGTAATAAAAACTTTTCAAAACTCTTAAAAATTATTGCACAGCGTGCTATGGAGAGGACTGTGCTCGGTGTTTCTCTACGAGATCGAATCAGAAATGAGGAGATCCGTAAACGAACTAAAGTCGCTGACATAGCCCAACGGATTTGTAAGCTGAAGTGGCAATGGGCAGAGCATGTATACAGAACTGACGGCCGATGGGGCAGCAAGGTTCTGAAGTGGAAGTCATGTACCGGAAAGCGCAGCGTAAGATGCTCACTCTCAAGGTGGACCGACGACCTCATAAAGGTAGCGGGAAGGCGCTGGATGCAGGCCGCCACCAACCGGCCATTGTGGAAATCATTGGGGGAGGCCTATGTTCAGCAGTGGACGTCCTATGGCTGAAATGATGATAATGATGATGATTAAAAACTTCCTAAGAAACAGAGATGATTCATCATCATCATCTGAAATCAGCCTCCTTCATTACTGGACGTCAACAATGCCAATAACCTCGATATCTTGCTGTGTCAGTCGTACCATTGATACGACGGGGCCCAGTCTACATTAAAATAAATAATTAAATCTCCTAAATTTTGATACAGGGCCCGTCAAAGATACCAGCCTCTACCAGAAGAGTTCATAAAGTCGTAATTTTCAGCGCACGAAGATAAAAATATTTACGAGTATGTTGAAAACGCACGCATGGCAAGAAACAGAACATTTTTGGTTAGAAGCTTTATGAATTCGACACCTGCGAGAAACTAGGTAAAGCAAACAAAGCTAGTCGCAGTCAGAAGCATACGGTACACGGAGTGCAATGAATTTTATAGTACGGCTCCTGCTACTACTCCTGTGACGTATAAAGGAATGGGCAAGTCTGTTTTTAGACTTTAGTCCTTTGATATTGTGAAAGAAGTCGTTAGAAACAAAAAAACAGGACACGTAAAACGAAATTTCCAGTTATCCTAAATGTAAGTATATTTAGCTACGGTTACAGTAACCAGTGATTTAGTAAGAAAACTATGAGTCAGGAAGGATATACTTGTATAAATATTTAGTTGCTCAATTCATTTCCATAATAATATTGTGAGTCATTTGCAAGGAACACCGTCACTTATAAAAGCAAACATGTAAGCTACTAATTAGATGTGCAGTTTAAACCAATATAAAACAAATTGACCATTTCACAAAGCAACAATAGCGCTGGGTTCTAAATATTTTAAAACATCAGTCGTGCTACACACTTTCAATTGTTTTGTTTTAAACAATGACCCGATACAAAGCAGAGCATCACTACTTCGCCAGACGAGGCCTACATTTTCATAACAGAACTCTAAATTTGAACACAAGTGTGCGGAGTGACGTACGAATCGCCCATAAACGGCTGTGGGTCAACCAGGACAGAGGCTTTACGGTAACGACGTCACTATTTAGCACCGTCTGGGTTACCGTTACGTCCAAAGAACCGATTGGACACATAAGATTTCGTGATTGCGTGGTTCGAGGACAATTTTGTGTCTGTGTCAGTGCCCAGTGACGAATAACCTTGAGGCACACGTGGTTACACTGGTAATAAATGCTCACAAGTTGCTGTGGAGCTATGATTATGATAAGTACTAGGTACCTACCTACTTATTTATGAATCTAAGACTGGTACATACCTATTACTATTATAAAACCTAATATTAGCTGGAAAACTTTCTTGCTCGTGTACATAGGTATACTTAAATAACTGAGCTGTTGTACATTATGTTGATACTAAAATTACTAGCAATTATTTAGATATTAATATCAGCCTACATGAGGCGTTCGAAAAGATATTCTCGACTGCTCGATGCAACGTAATTCGAGCGATATTATGCATATCAATTAATATTATAATTATATGTGCCCCCGCCACTTGAAGCGAACGCTTAAGCCTGCTTCAGGTTGCACCCATTTACAGGATGTAACAGAAAATAGACATTCGACTTTTACGGAATCAAATAGCAGCCTCTTTTCCATTAGATCAATGGAAACATTCCTAAAAACTATATCAGAGTTGTTCAAAGAATGTTCCATTTTCTTACTTTAGTAAGTACTAGCTTTCCGCCCGCGGCTTCGCCCGCGTGGAATTTTGTCTGTCACAGAAAAACTTTATCGCGCGCGTCCCTGTTTCAAAAACCGGGATAAAAACTATCCTATGTTCTTTCCCGGGACTCAAACTATCTCTATGCCAAGTTTCATCAAAATCGGTTGCGAGGTTTAAGCGGGAAAGCGTAACAGACAGACAGACAGACAGAGTTACTTTCGCATTTATTGTTAGAAAGTAGTTTGAACACCAAATAAACTATAGACTCTATAGAATGTATTGTCTATGTGGATTATAAAATAAAAGACACTCGATCTTCGGCTTTCACAGAAATACGTTATTTTATTTCAATTATTCCCATTATAATAGGTTATGGGCCCAGTAAACCCAAAAAANTTTGGCATAGAGATAGTTTGAGTCCCGGGAAAGAACATAGGATAGTTTTTATCCCGGTTTTTGAAACAGGGACGCGCGCGATAAAGTTTTTCTGTGACAGACAAAATTCCACGCGGGCGAAGCCGCGGGCGGAAAGCTAGTTATGTATAAATTTAATTTATCTGAAAATGATACACAATAAAAGTGTACTTTACTACTTTAAGGGTAATATAAATTGTCGTTTTATTACTTTTACCTAGCCCTACTCTCTTCATTTCACTCAGAAAAAAAAGTACGTAGATCTACGTATTTTCTATATGGAAATTGTACCATTTCTACGTAATTTTCTAATCTGTCCTACGACTTTTTCAAAATCCGAGTTGGCAACATTTACGGCTGACAAACGGCCCAAATAGAGCACTGTCGTTTATTAAGTATATTAAGAGATAAATCATGAAGACCATCTGTGCGTTTGTTCTCTTTATATCAATTGATATGGATGTCCTCGATTTTGTAGTGTCAGAGAAATAATAGTCGGAAAAAGGACGGACAAATAAATATAGTTGGTCAAGGTATTTTTATTAGCTTTGTATTAACTGGATACTTCGTCTTTAGGGTTCCGTAGTCCTGACATAGTTTCGTCATGTCCGTCTGTCTATCCGTGGAAACTATTGGTTTTAAAAATCTGGAAAAAATCGTATAAATTACTTTATATGAAGTAATTGCTTGCTTCAGCTTTACAGCTACGGAATCCTACACTGCGCGTGGCACGACACGCACTTGGCAATTTTTTTCTATCTATCTATTCTCTTATCTATCTATCTATATAAATAAAAATGAATTTTTGTTCGTTAGTCTGATTAAAACTCGAGAACGGCTGGGCCGATTGAGCTGATTTTGGTTTTAAAATGTTTGTCGTAGTCCAGGGTAGGTCTAAACGGTGAGCAAATACGCGCACGATATTGTTTTTCTGTGACAGACAAAATTCCACGCGGGCGAAGCCGCGGGCGGAAAGCTAGTTAAAAATATTTCTCACAGAGAGCATTATTGGGGTAAGGTGGAGGGTACAAATCCATGATTAATGACCTGCGATTTGAACCTATTGCTAATCTAGTGCCACGAGTAAATCACATACCAACAAGCTGTCAACGCTTAAAGCATTTTATAAAAGAAGATAATAAAACTACGACTTTATCTCTAAGGCCCAGTTTTTTGATTCATAGTTAAAATAACAAATTGTTAAATTTTGCTACTAATGGTTAAATATTAACAAAATGTTAACTAATAGCAGGCCTGGCTCACTCCGCGCGGTACATCCGATAATTACCTACAGCGAAGCGCCCCGCCGGCGGGTATTATATCAGTCGAGTGTCGTGCGCGCCCGTCAGGACGCTGGCGTGAGTTGTAGTATCTAATTCTACGATCGAAGTTTTATTTAAAAATGGACATACTTAAAGAGAAAGAAATTGTGCGGCGTTCGGGTGTTTAAATTCGAAAAGAAATCTACCGGATTTTATTTATCTTTTTTTTCGCTTCCCAAAGATGCTGAAAGGTATGTTGGCCATGTAGGTAATCAATAATTCTTAGGATAGTATAGGAACCTAACCTACCATGACTACTGCTCAGAATGCGTTCGTTTGTTTCAGCCAAATGATGTCCACTGCTGGACAAAGGCCTCTCCCAAGGTTTTCCATAATGAATGCGTTACACTACATACGTACGTAATACGTACGTAAACCTACATACGTACCTCATGACATATAAGTAATTTAATTATTATTTCACTAGACAGCAACCCTAACAGCGTAAGAAGAGTTCAGAGGCACGCGATAGAAAGAGACAAAACTTGTAGGTGAATAAAATTGTAGGTACGTAGTGCTGTGCGAGCTGAATTCCACTGTATCGCGTCGTAGCAAGATTCGCATTTATTTAAATCGTCTTGCGGAGTAATCCTTCTGTACCTGTACTATTACTTATTGTTAGAAAGTAGTTTGAACACCAAATAAACTATAGACTCTAGAATGTTTTGTCTATGTAATATTTTATCGATGATAAAATAAAAGACACTCGATCTTCGGCTTTCACAGAAATACGTTATTTTATTTCAATTATTCCCATTATAATAGGTTATGGGCCCAGTAAACCCAAAAAGTTATAAATAAGTGCATTATCTGGAATAGGCGCATATTTATTTACAAGAAGCAAGAACTGAAACATCAAAAATGTCTTCGAACGCATTCCTAACCAGTGTGCCTAAGCTATTGGGTCGCCAGAATTACCATGAATGGGCANTATAGGGCTGACTTCGGTAAAATGATGTGACGTGAGGTGCCAAACTGCGGAAAATGGCGGAGGAAATACATGATTTAGCATGAATTATCATGAATAATATTAACTACTTATTTACCTCTCGTCGAGCTGGCGCAAATGAAGGCCCAAAACCAATATTTACCTCTCAGTGTCTTGAGGCAACTTAAAAAAGTACATTCTGTGTTTTTATTATTATTTAGGCAGTTAAATACTGCACAGTATTTAGTACACCATTTTCTTTATTTTCTTCCATCATACACAAGAATACGCGTGCGTGAGTCAATTTTCGCTCGTATGTGAGGCCTTGTCGAATAGTATCCTGTGGGTGGGCCATCGTGCATGTTTTGTTTTCGATGTAAACTCGCGGAGATGAACAGGCCTGTCGGTACACGCTAAATTATCCATGAGTGCACACGCACACTGCAATAATGACGCTCGGATTGGTCGGATCAAACTCCCCGCACCAAGCGCTTCCCTCGACCAAAAAAAAATTGGTGGCGTTTTCGTGGATGGCACGATCAATAAGCGCGGGAAAATAGGTATATTGCGTTCGTCATTAATAACTTTACGTCAATGACTCAAAGTCAATTAATGTTAATTACATAATAATATCAAACATAAGTCATAATTTGGGCTTCTATTGAATCAGTGACAAAAGAGCGAGAGAGGAGGAAATAAAAACAAAATCTTCTAAATTAATCATAGGTAAAAAAACCGGGATTTAATCGAATTTGTAATAAGAACTTATTACATAGGATAAAATACATAAAAAAACAGTCAGAAATATTTAAAGGCACTTACCCAAATTATCTGCGCCTCGCGGAATGATGACGTCAGCAAACTTCTTTGTCTGTAAATAATGATAGTAACTCATTAGTTAAACAATTAAACTAGTTAGGTTTTTTTTACATTATTCACTTTACTTTGTTTACAAAACTTGTTTGATCGATCATTTTCCGTAATTAATTAATGACAATAACAATTAAATTTTAAAGTTTATGGGCCCATACAAATTATGACATTCTTCGACTTCAAATTTTGTATTACATGAAACACGGTAGTACATAAGATGGGACACAAAATTAATAATACAACTACAGTTCAACGTCATGTCTCCCCAAATTATTAGCCGACTGTGACAGAAGGAGGGTTATGTTTTTTCGAGTGTATGTTTTTAAATGTTGTTTAAGTCTTACCGGCAGACAGAACTCCTCGAAGGCAGGCTTGACGAAGTTCATGTACTGGTTGAGGACCTGCTCCAAGTCGCGGCCGCGCTCCATTATGTCGCGGGGCACTGGATAAAACAACGACCAATTAATCAACTTTAGAAACGCTAAACACTGGCATCTTATATCCTTGTAATAGATGCTATTTTTCAACAATTTCATGTTAATTAATTGTTTATTTGCCAAGGGATAAATGTCTGACTACAAATGGCAGATATTAGAAGGACGATAGACAAAAATTCAGCAGTCTGATGCCTAAACCACGTGGTCGAAAAATCGATGAGTGTTAAAATACAATTGAGAAAAAATCTATTACGTTCCGCACATGAAAACAAACAAATCCTAGGTTAGGTTACTATCAGCTACACTCACAGCACAACTCTACGCTGCTCCTTTTTACCCGACTGCGCCAAAAGGAGGGTTATGTTTTAAGTAAGTTAACGCAAGTTACGTTTTCCAATATCAGCAGCAGTAACCACACGCACGCATTGACGCTACTCGGATTCATTGATTTTGCTAATTTTCTGTATAAACGAAAATTTGATATGCCTGTTGCTATTTGATGAGTTATGAATACTAAATTGTAAAAATACATTAAAAAAATTTTGTTACCTCTCCTGGCGAGCCTGGTGTCGGAGTCGGTGTCAACAAACAGCTTCATGTGGAACAGCTCCCGTACTTCAGGGAAGTAGAACACGAGGATGCCTTCAATGAGCACCACGTCAGCCGGGTAAATGGTGTGCGAGCGGTGAGGGCTGGTCGGAGGAAATGTAAGTCAATATCTCAGGAAATGTGGCAGCTTACTTATAAAAAACCTCTCAACTTTATTTTTGCAAGTAGGCTTTTAAAGAGCACTTTTACAGTCCCAGCACAAGAAACTCGGTCACATACAGCATCCAATTTTATAAAAAAGGTAACTTCACTAAATATGGTAAGAAGACAACATACTGTACATACTGTACTGAATATGACACTGACAATGCAAGTCATAAAAATTAAATATTTGTCTAAGTTAATGTCTCCCACTGACTGGAATTATTTTTATATCCTACCTAATTCTAACCTTCCATAAACCTATCGACTAGACACAATCTCATGCAAAAATGAGAGGTTTTATTTAGTTGGTAACAATTTCTAAGAGTATAGTACTAAGTGTTAAGGTTGTAGCTGGCAGGAAATTCTTTCGTGGACAGATCTATACCTTCTAAAATCTAGTGCAAATTCAGCTTACACTCACACACTAAGTCAGGTGCAGATAGTTTTCTTCCCTTAAAAATACATTTCGTACTTACTGAATAGCATTTGTGATGTAATCATATTCCGGCACCTCCACCTTCTTTCCAGCCAGGATGTCTTTGAGCACAGTTAGGAGCTTCTTATCATCAAACGCATCTGGGTGGTCAAAGTTGAACTGCCCGCGTTCGGCGCGGAGCCTCTCTGACGGAGTCAGTGTACGGTAGAATGAGTCTTGGCTGATGCAGACGACACGCCTCTCTGTATGCTCTTTTTGCTGCTGGCCCAGTTTCTCCATGATCCGTTGGCATACTGTTGACTATGGGAAATTGTAATAGTAAGAAATTAAATACATTTAAACATTTTTTAAATAAATAACTTGAAAAAATCAAACTACATAAGGAAGGTAAGGCGGGAATCGAACCCACTACCTTTCGCTTGCTGGGCGTCTGCTCTTCCAACTGAGCTACTTAGACACCAGGTGAACCCGTCGTTTGAGAAGCGACTTTAATTGCTAAGAAATTTTAATATCAATTACATTGAAACAGTTGATATGAGTAATGAGTACTTCTTCTTCTTTTCGTGTCGACAACAAACCTACACAGTAATGAGTACTAAAGAAATCATATACCAAAATTTAGCTTTGTTTTTTTGCTTCTACCCTCTACTCACATAAAAATACACACTACACAGTGTAGTAAGAGATAAAAAGGAATAGAAAACAATTCAGAATGCTTGTTCTCTTACAGTAGTTATTATAATAATCACGGTTCGAAAATATCCGATATTTATTATAAATATCAAAATATCGGATATTTATGATATATATCAGATATATATCAACTTTGATATATATCAATTTTGTATGAAAGCCATACTATTATTTTTGTTAGAAAGTAGTTTGAACACCAAATAAACTATAGACTCTAGAATGTTTTGTCTATGTAATATTTTATGGATTATAAAATAAAAGACACTCGATCTTCGGCTTTCACAGAAATACGTTATTTCATTTCAATTATTCCCATTATAATAGGTTATGGGCCCAGTAAACCCAAAAAGTTATCAATAAGTGCATTTATCTGGAATAGGCGCGTATTTATTTACAAGAAGCAAGAACTGAAACATCAAAAATGTCTTCAAACGCATTCCTAACCAGTGTGCCTAAGCTATTGGGTCGCCAGAATTACCATGAATGGGCGTTTGCAGCGGAAAATTTGCTGGTCTTGGAGGGCATGTCTGACTGCATCAAGCAAGAATGTTCAGAAGCCAGGGCAACAGAAGACAGAAAAGCAATGGCCAAGCTGATCCTAACAATAGATCCGTCATTATACGTCCACATTAAAGAAGCTAAAAGCACCAAAGATCTGTGGCAGAGAGTAAGAAACATGTTTGATGATTCTGGATTCTCAAGACGAATAACATTACTCAGGAATTTGATATCAATTCGCCTTGACAGCTGCGAATCAATGACGAGTTATGTTACACAAATCATCGAAACGGCCCAGAAGTTGTCAGGAACAGGTTTCTCCGTAAATGACGAGTGGATCGGGAGTTTATTGTTAGCTGGTTTGCCTGAAAAGTATTTCCCCATGATTATGGCAATCGAGCATTCGGGAATCGCCATTACCAGTGACGTAGTGAAAACGAAGCTCATAGATTTGGCAGGAAATGACTGCGAGGCGGGAAGCGCATTCTTGAGTAGAGGGCAGCACAGTCGTCATAGTTTGAAAGTTGGTAGCACTGGCAAGTTCGACAACTCCAACCAACTTCATGGCGGTGCGTATGGCGGAAATGGAAAGTCTATGCCCGACTCATCAAATGTCAAATCGGACAAGTCAAGTGTCAAGTGTTATCGTTGTAAGCAGTTTGGACATTACAAATCTCAATGTAAACAACAGAGTAATCAGCCTCAGATAAAGAAAACAAACGCATTTTCGGCAGTTTTCTTGAGTGGAAATTACAGCAAACAGGACTTTTATTTGGATAGCGGTGCGAGTACACATATGACTCCAAATATAAACATGATACAGAATGCATCTTTTACTACAAGCATTAAGGAGATTATAGCGGCAAATCAGAATGCTATGCCAGTTTTATGCTCTGGGGATGTCGATATCATGACCGTTACTCCGGATTCCCTTTATGAAGTGACGTTGAAAGATGTGTTGTGTGTACCTAACCTTACCACAAACCTAATTTCCATCAGTCAACTTATCAAGAATGGGAATAAAGTCGATTTTAAGGAGAATTGTTGCTATGTTTACAACAGACAGAACACATTAGTGGCTGTAGCAAATCTGATAGATGGTGTCTACAAGATGGTCATAGAAAAGAAACAGTGTTTGTTTACATCAAGCTCTTCAGCAGCAAGCAGTGAAATGTGGCACAGGAGACTTGGACATCTGAATATGAACGATCTGAACAAGATGAAAGATGGAGCAGTGACAGGAATATCGTGCACTGATAACTCCGTGATCAACAAAAACTCGTGTACCGTGTGCTGTGAAGGAAAGCAGTCGCGCTCACCATTTGGCCATGTGGGAACGAGGAGCAGCGAGCCATTGGAAGTTATCCACGCTGATGTCTGTGGCCCCATGGAGGTTACTTCAATTGGTGGAGCAAGGTATTTTCTTATATTTGTTGATGATTTTACTCGAATGGTGTTTGTCTATTTCCTCAAAGAAAAAAGAGAAGTTTTCAAGTACTTCAGGGAATATAAGGAATTGGTAGAGAACCAACAATGTAGAAAAATCAAAGTATTCAGAACTGATAATGGGTTAGAGTTTTGTAGCAATGAGTTTGAGAATTTCCTAAAAAAGAGTGGCATAATACATCAAAAGACCAATCCATACACTCCCGAACAAAATGGTTTGAGTGAACGAACTAATAGGACAATTGTAGAGAGAGCCCGTTGTTTATTATTTGATGCAGGATTAGATAAGAAGTTCTGGGCAGAGGCAACAAACACCGCTGTCTATCTTAAGAATAGATCTGTAGCATCAGGACTAAATAATAAAACTCCTTATGAGCTCTGGACAAACAGGAAACCAGATTTAGCCCATATTAGAATATTTGGAAGTCATGTTATGGTTCACATACCAAAAGAGAAACGACTAAAGTGGGATAGTAAATCAAGACAGCACATATTAGTTGGCTTCTCAGATAGTGTAAAGGGATACAGAGTTTATGACCCCATCAAAAGATGTATTACAACCAGTAGAGGTGTTATTGTACATGAGAATGCAAAAGGAAACTGTACATCAGATTCTAATGTAACAGTTTCAGTTGGGGATATTGTCCAATCAGAGGTTCCAAGCAGTAGCAATAACATGGATGAAGAAAAGTTGGATGTCATTATGAGCCCTGTAGATTTCACTGAAAATGAGTCGCATGATGACACAGTAGGACCTTCAGAGTCTAATGCTTTGACGACTGATTTGGATTCAACTTTGCATCAATCTCAAACATCTGAAGAGGTGAAGGAAACAATGTTACCAGAACCAGCAATTACAGTAATACCCAAACGATTGAGAAGGCCACCAGAACGGTATGGGTATACTAACTAATGCAATGCCAGCTGATGTTCTGACTTAAGCGTTATGTTCCGTAAAACTTGTTTTTGTAATTATCGTTTATTTGCTGTAGTTGGGGTGTTAGAAAGTAGTTTGGACATCAAATAAACTATAGACAATCTTAAACTTTATAGAATGTTTTGTCTATGTAATATTTTATGGATTATAAAATAAAAGACACTCGATCTTCGGCTTTCACAGAAATACGTTATTTCATTTCAATTATTCCCATTATAATAATTATACGAGTAAATGCGAAATTTTGTGTGGATGTCTGGATGTTTGTTACTCTTTCACGCAACTAGACGACTACTACTGAACGGATTTTGATGAAACTTTACAGTATTATTGTTTATAACCCAAAATAACAAAAAAAAATGACTATAATTTATGACGACCTGTGACAAACTAAATTTCACGCGGGTGAAGCCGCGGGCAAAAGCTAGTAACAAATAATAGAAAAGTTTAAATCATATTCGTTCTTGTAATCTTACATTTGTAAGAGTCTTTTAGAGCTTTTAAAGACATGATTTATCAATCCAGAAAAACTATTTTCTGTATTGTCTGCGCGTAATTTTCAAATAATATCAGCTTCGGCCAACCAATTGACACTATGGTATAGCTGTACTAGAAGATTCGTCAGTGAGGTGTTATAGACAGAGTCTCTTCCAATAGTGCCAAGTCACTAACTAGCCGATAATTTCTCTATCCAAATGTATTTTACCCGAAACGAAACCTACAAATCCTTCGGATTCAGCGCTCTTACTTCGAACATTCGGCTTTGTTCCCCCAAGGAATAGTAACAGAACGTTGAGCAGCTGATTTTCTAACCGCCGAGTTATCTAGCGTGCAAACGGCGCTGCAGTAACGCAAACATCCGAGGAACTAATCTGCAAATTGCCCTTTGTCGTGACGTCACACCGCCCCGGGTAAAATATTCAACAGAATCTGGGCTCTTCTGTTACGTTTCTGCTAAGCTTTATATCTTTGCTTCGCTAATTTGCTTTGTGAAAAAATATTCAGGACGTTTTATGAAATGGAAATCACATTTGCTGAATGCACATGTCACATGAATTTGCACGTTATCAATATTTGAACCAAAATTGTTAACAGAATAAAATAATACCAATACATGTAGCTTTGAAAACAATGCAAACATAAATTGATACAATGTTTTTCTGAATATAAAAATAATCAACGCAAATATTTCGCTCAACACACATTGAATAATTTGTTTAAAATTACATTTTCATACTTAATGTCAATTTAAACAAGTGTTCAATGCCCCTTTCACTTTTTGTAATAAGCCCCTGTGCTTCCACAGTGCATCTACAACAGACATAAACATCAAACTGGTCTATAACTAAAAGCCAAACACTGGTGTATCTTATACAGTTATATTAAGAGCCATTTTCCAACAAAAGCGTTGACTTGATTCGCTGTCGACTGGTCAAAATTATGCACAAATCGTCTTACTTCAGCAAACGCCAGTTGTGGTGACAGAGGGCGGGCGGCTGCTGACGTCACCGGCCTCTTCAAACAAGGGACAGCAAGTTGATACGCTGGGGCTATAATGTTGACAGTGCTTATAAGTTGAGGTTTTGAAGAGGGACCAAGTTTCTTATACAAGCAATAAAATGTTGATCCCATCAAAAACAATACTTGTCAAAAAAACCAAGTCTCGCAACTCAGTTGTTCTACGGTAAAAAGTTGTGAGATCCATGTAATACCAAGTCCAGGCCAGGAAAACTTTAACGTTTTACATAAATTATTGACTTGGCCATCGCACTAAATAATTTAATTTACACGTGTTTTCATGCGATGGCCAAGTCAATAATTTATGTAAAACGTTAAAGATTTCCTGGCCTGGACTTGGTATTACATGGATCTCACAACTTTTTACCGTAGAACAACTGAGTTGCGAGACTTGGTTTTTTTGACAAGTATTGTTTTTGATGGGATCAACATTTTATTGCTTGTATAAGAAACTTGGTCCCTCTTCAAAACCTCAACTTATAAGCACTGTCAACATTATAGCCCCAGCGTATCAAC